TAGCTCTAGCATTTTCCACCAACAACCCAAATCAGCGCCAAATACTTGTATAAATCCRCACTAATCACTTCCCACTGGCAACAACACTAAAACTAAATACAGCAATTGTGTTAATGCACTCCGCAGTGACATCGAAACAAACCTCGACCCAAAAGTCGCAAAGGCACCRAAGAAAAAAGTCAACAAATGACGAGCGGCAGAGTATGTATGTATGTATGTKCATYAGTTAGCCAACAAACTAAGTGCAGGCAACAACGATGAGTTCAAACGCTAAAGAACGCTTAGCCGCACCCACCCACTAACGAGCATAAATGTACATACAAACTTTAATTCAGATACAACCACACCTCAGCAGCACTTGGCTAAAGGTCTCATTTTGTATGTATTTTGGGGAACGACGCACCACAGTAAACACGAAATATATGTACACAGGCACATACATAAGTATGTAAAAATAAAAGAAATATGTGCATACATACATACATACGCACAAAAAGTCTCAATAGCTAAAATATACTACACACTTTTAACTTCAACAACGTTGCCGCCGTCACTGCTATCGTCTTCGCCATCGAGAATACACCAAGTAAACAAGAAATGCTTCAAAAAAATTCAAGCACGCACATATGAACACATACGCACACGCATACACACACACATAAGCAAGAAATGTAGCATTCTAAAAAGCAGGAAAAGAAAAACTGAAAATAAATTCGAGTAAATTTCGAATAGCAGCGGCAGCTATCAACAATAGCAACAAGGCAAAGCAAAGCAAACGAAAATGGAGCGTGGGCACCACACCAGCAGCACAGCTATATGTAGTTGGCGTTGGCGCTGCAAATTGAACCTGAAAATAAACCAAGAAACGACTGTTGGCGAGAGAAATTTTTCTATGTCAGCAGCATTGACTACATGCTTGAGTCATATGCACATACAAACATACATACATATGTACATGTATGCATACGTTCATATGAATATGCATACTGTTGCTGTGCGATCATGCCACTTATGGCGCGCTGTTGTGCGACCGGCAATAATATAGCCTACATGCATACATATGTGCGCTTGATTTTGCTGAGAAAGCATTGGTGTGTCGAGGAAAAATTATCAGATCAACACTGTCGAAATTACGGCTTTTAGAATATCGAAGAAATATTTAGTATGTATGTATGCCTGCAGTATTTATGACATACATACATACATACATACATACATTTATAACACTATAGAAAATGCTCAGATTAAGAACACATCCTTGCAACTTCAGTAAAGCTACAATAGCAAATTAAAAATTCAAATAATTTCAAAATTACTGTTTTTCAAACTAATTTGTAAAATAAATTTAATTAATTTAAAAGTTTCATTGATTTTGTTCAGCCAGTACAAACGCTCTCTACAAAAACCACTAAAAGCTGCAAAAAAGCTCTAAAAAGCTTTTCTTCTCTGCGCCGCTCTAAGAACACATCAAAATATTTGGAATATTTTGAATTTAAAGTAAGCTGAAAATGCAGCATTTACTTCCCCTTCTGCATAAGAATTACAGCTGAGCGTTGAAGAATACACTCCAGCTGTTCGCAACATATTGTCAAGCACAWGCAGGCCTACAAACTCACTGACATCCATATGTGTATTGTACATACAAACATTCTGTATATTCTTGTAAGAAATATCGACATATGGAGTAGACGCACAAGCACTTCAGCTGCACAATTCCAAACTGCCGAACATGCACACAAACGCACAAACAGACTTAAGCAATGACAAGGCAAATGCTTTCCGCTGTAATCCATAGCAGCGACAACGATGAGGGCGGCAAGAACGTCATACATGCCGGCGTGTACCCTCTTCAACATTTCCAGAATGCATGCTTAAGTATAACGACGTACCGCAGCACAAAACGGACGGGTCGTTCGCTATATATACTCGTACACACACATACATACATACATACATCGGTACACATTTGTTTGCGTCTGTCAGTCCTCCTTATTTTGGGTTTCATTCATTTCATTTCGGGTTTCATGGAAGCGCACAAGCAACCGACCAACCGTACAATGTGCAACATCAATGCCGCCACCACCACCACTATTACCAAAAAGGGAACGTACTGACCGAGCGCACCGAACGAAAAACACATTTATAMATATCAGATGGCAGCCGCCAGTGCGTCGCATTTCGTATAAATGCAACCAGACGCGCGCATTCATTTCTACGGCGGAAGGACGGACGAACGCGAGGACTGTGGGAGCGGCGGCAACGACAACGACGACGACGAGGAACGTTCGTTGTGAGGCACGGCGACGTTAACATAATTTTCTAAAAATATACAAAGCGGCCAACAGCAGCAGACAGAATAAGGTAGGGAGCGTACGCTGAAAAGCAAAATACTGTGCGCAGGCAGGCARGCAAGCAGATACGCGACAGTAGACGATGCATATTGCAATGGCAGTTKTTTTTCTTATTTGTTGTTGTTATTGYTTTGTTATGCAGCGGCTTGCGTAGAGTCGTGTCGCGCCGAGCGGAGGGCACGGCGCGTATGACATTTCAGCAAGCACCGGCAAAATAGCGCACATTTCATATGCGCTGCTTCGAAGGGATGAAATGGCAGCAACTTCCACCACCTCGTCCTCTGAATATCATCCTCTGAAAGGCAGCGCAATGCYTTTCGTTAGCACCACCGTCAACGTCACTTTCACAGGCGAAATGCACGTGCAACCCGGGTGTATTTGTATTTACAGATGTGCGCTGAAGCAAGCACTGAGTCAGAGTTTTTAACAGCACAAAAAAAAAAAAAAAAAAAAAATAGAAAAGCGAAGCATAAAGACAGGAACCGGGATGCACCCTTATGTAGTATACGTTGCGTCGCTATACATGCGTGGAAATATGGGTCCGGTTTGGAGTATCTCCTTGTATGCGCGTACCGCGGATAGGACAGCATCAACGACGACGACGACGACAAATGTCTGGCTAAGTGTCTGCAAGCGACCAGTTGACAGTTGGCTGCTGTTTCCTGTGTCTCACTTGGCGCTTTGCTTGTGTGTGTGTGTGTGTGTGTGTGTGTGTGGCGGAAGCTACACTTTGAGAATAGCGCTAACAGGCGGGTTAACAACTCAAATGTGGAATAACCACAGCCCCAGCAGCAAAGTGAGAGGCCGGTACTTCATGGAAAGCTGATCTTGGTGAACATTTTTGGATACCCGTTAGATTTCTAGCACTTCTAGCGAAGGAGCGACCATTTTTCATAGCCGGATTCAATTCTTTCGATGAACTAGTAAGCGAGGATCTCTCAGAGCTTCTCTTACCTGTAAATATGCGCATAAACGCTTTAAATCAGTGTTCCGATCAAACAATCGATTTTTTTACACAGTAATTTCATGCTTCTCTATTCGCTTTTTATCCCTCCCGCTACTTGCGATCATATCTACTCACTTTTAACGTAGTATAAACTCTCACCTCAACTTCACCATTTGCTCCGAAGACCTCGGAAGTTCGCACAGTGCGAAAATCTTATATGAGTGTATACTTTTCTGTTCTGATTGTCTTTGTCCCGGTATTTTCATTTTAAAGCAAACGGACAGGAGTTGCAGATAATTTTCGCTTTAGTGCGTCAGCATGTCGCACAAACCAGCAGAGTGGGCTGAAGAGTTGAGGATATAGTTGTAATAGTTTGTGTAAGGCATTTGTGTACAATATGTAAGACTTTTAATACCGTTAGAGTGAGCACGGTTTTAAAATTGTTGCCGTTGTTTAGCCAAAATTGTGAGTTGAGTCTTACGGAGACGTCACAATGGTAGAGTGAGATTTCGCTTACGTTGAGAAGAGACACTTTGAAATAGTTTACGCATTACTTGGTGTTTGAACTGAACTTTTCAATATTTCAAATGAATTGGAATTGAAAAGTGCTTAAAATAATTTTAAGGTTATGAACTGMAAGTAATTTTTAAAATCTTTATATTTTAAATTTAGTACTACATTCCTCAAACAAAACTAATATTTAACTTTCTTCTTTTGCTTACAGGTTAATTCAGCAATGGGTCTACAAGCTACAGCCGCTACTAAGCGGAAACATGAAATTACATTCGATGCCAAGGATGCTAATACATATACCAACAGTCCGCCACCATTGAAGACAGGCAAATGGTCAATTAATAATAATAACTACATCGAAGCCATTGAGGAGCAGCAACTGAATGGCAGTAATATTAAGGATAAGAACGGCAGTTTGCGCGCACTTACGAATAGTGCGGCAGAGAACACGAAAAGCACAACAACAACAACAGTGAATAGCAATAGTAATAGTATTAATAGCAGCATTAACGGCCACCACAATAGTATTAGCAATGGTAAAGAAGTTACTAAAATCGCATCTGCASCCACCACAATAACAGCATTGCCCTCCATGGTCGCCACGCTGCTGCCTATGTCCAGCGAAATGTCTGCCACCACGCCATTGCCACCCACCTCTAACACTCCCGTACCGGAAGACAGTATTGCCAAGTTGGAGGAGGTCGCCGCCGTGCCCTGCTGTGAGCCCTGGACTAATGCGGCGACCGAACCGGTCGATTGCATTTCCAAATTGCAGGCTGTTGCAGTGCCGAGCGATCCGTGGGGTAGCATTGCGACACGTTCCACTTTGGCGACAACACTGCTCAGCGCTGATGAGTTAGATGATGACGATGATGATTTCGAGGATGACTATGAGGAGGAGGAGAGCATAATACCGACATATTGTCCACTGCGTTATCATACTTTTCCACCGCCACCAGCAGCGAACACGACAACGCATCAACAGCAGCGACTTGGCAGTTATGCGCCCGCGCCGCATGGTTATGGCTCGCGTCCCAACTACTACTCGGAGCCATATCCACAACAGAATTGTTCACGTACCGGCAGTCCGCAACATATGCGTATGGCTGGCAGCAATGGTTTCACACAATGGCAGAGCACGAACGGTCCCTCCGGTRGCGGTCAGCAATTTTATGTGCCACCCGAAGCRGCATACCCGCCGCCACAGCAACAGACACCACAACCGCCACAACAGCAGCAGACAATACGTTGCGCAGAGAATGGTAAATCGTATTTAGAGTTGGGCTGTAGCAGTCCGCCGCCCCATGTGAATAGTTCGCCTGTTGTGCCACCACCGCCCTTCGGCAATCTACATGTGACCGCTGCGAATCTCGACACGCGTCATCCTTTGAAACGTTGCTGTGATGGGCGTGGTACCTGGTGTAATACAAATAARAATTGCTACAAGGATCTGCGTCTGAAGATACGCAACCTATCCATGTTTAAGTTGTCACGCTTCCGACAAGTATCCGAACAGTCACTCTATCGCTCGGTGCTAATCTGCAATACACTGAAACGCATCGATCGCGAAATCGAAACAGAAGCTAAGGAGATGCATCAAGCAGCAGCGCAGGCTGCCGCCGCACAACATCAATACCATCAGCATCTGCATCCGCCACATCATTTGCAGCATCACTTGAATCCGCAACAGCCACCGCAGCAGTTGTTGGTGCCACAGCAACCACATACCATGCTGCATCAACAGCACCAGGACTATGCGCCGCCAGTGATGAACTGTGCGCGCCTCACAAACATGGACTATCAGGTGCAACATCAGCCGCCAACGCTGCTGCAACAACAACCGCCGCAGCACTTCGCACAACATCTGCCACACTATCAGAATCAGCAACCCGAACGGCTCGACACGCCGCCGCCATACCTGAGCGCACCCACACAACACCTTCAGAAACCCACAAGTGGCAGTTTTACGCTCAACAATAGCATTAGTAGTATTAATGTAAATAACTGTGATTCTACGAATGGCGCAGCGGCAATACACCCTTACGACCACTATCCCTTCCGGGAATCGCAATCTGGACGCGCAACGCCATTTCCCTGCCAACCAGTAATGTCGCCGGCGCCGCCCTCAACAACACCAACCCCGGCGACGACGCAATCGCAACTACATACTGTTGCAACGAGTCTCAGTGCGTCCAATACAACAACAGCAGCGCCCATGCAAAACGCTAGCTCAACGGCGGCGTTGACAARCGCGTCAAGTAGCATTAGTACAACGTCACAAGTAACTACCGCCACGACGTCCATTGCTACCACCGATAACAGCGATTCTGGTTACGCGGACGATGATTCAACACGCTCCATCAACTGGAGTTCGGTGCTCAGCTTGTCATCACAATCCGCGTTGGATCCACTCAACAACAACGACCTCTTCGCCATATTACCGCCTGCGTTATCGATAACCAGCCCAGCGACCGCGACACCCGTGCCCGTAACGGCCGCTTTAACAACGAACACCAGCGCGTCAGATAGCACAACGCAGTCATCGGCTGTTGCCATTAGCGGCACTTTCACAACCGTGCAATCCACGTCGGCCTCCAGCACTAGTTCCAACGCATCAACTACCAGTAGTAGTAGCAGCAGTRCATACAACACATGTACCTCTTCGTCGACGGCAACATTCACCACGCTTTCGACCATCTCCTCGGCGACGCATTCGCTCACCTCATCATATGTGAGTAGCATGAGCGCCAATGCTGCAGCCGCGTCGGCATCCTCCACATGGGAGTACGGTTTTCTCGATATGGAATTCGGTYTGGGCTCAGAATTCACCGAACTTGTGCCCAGTTGTAAACTGAATTCAGATGAGCTCTTCAAGAGCAGCCTAACACCAGTGGTGGCCGCATCACGCTATTCCTCCGTACATGACAATGAGCTGGAACAACCGGCACACATTATGGTCGGCAGTTAGTATCAATTGTAAAGCAGCGAAACAATGCAGGAGACGTGGTGCCGAGCTTTATACTACTGTGACGGCGGTACGTACTGCAATGCCAACAGGTGGCCTTGCTGGTRTTTATGACCGCTAATTGGGGCGCTGGGCGCATGGTGCCCATGGAGAGCATGGCATTCATTGTGGCGAGTAGCAGGCGCGCTACGCCACTGAGCAACAAGCAGCGGGAACACATAACAGCCGAAAATATGTGAAAACACATTGTACGAGTGTATGTACATACTACATAACAGCAATGTGGGAGTGAGCGCAGCGCTTCGGCGCTGTTTTACTAGCATATACATTTATTAGAAATGTAAAAACATACATACATACATATGTATATACTCCTTTGTATTAGCTATTTTACTGCAAGCTAAATTAGTTCGCTTAAGTATGAAATGCTCAGGTTGTGAACTTTTTCTTTAAAAATTGTGGAAAAACTGTATGTGCAGCAAGTAGGGAGCCTAAAGCAGCAACTAAGGCGCATAGTTTGAAAAGAAATTGTCGCTTTCGCCATTAAAATGTACTTATTTGTCAATTGAAAGTACTTAAGCTATCGCTAAAAAGTACTTAATTTACTATGTTTTAAAACAAATAATAACTAAAAGATATGTTTATACAATTAGCAATATTTTAAAGGCAAGATTTATTTTGCAAATATTTCAAATGTGTAAAATATATCGATAATTGATTTTGTTGGTTTTATTTGTGAAATAATGCGCGCATATTTTTATTTTATACTTGAATTAATTCATTTTCTTTAAAAGATATTTTAAATTCTTCCCAATTACAATATATGTGTGTACAAAAATTTCTTTCGAATTATGCGCCGAACGAATGCAGCTCTTATAATCTTGTTAGAATAAATTGAAGAAAAATATAAAATCTTTATTTTTTTCAAGAAAAAACATATGCTTATTGACTTTTTTGTGCAACTTTATGCTTTAAAATTCGGTTGCATTCAAAACTCAATAATTTCTTAAAGCAAAAAATTTTAATTATCTTTTTGGACACTTCAGCAACTCAATTGCGTTAAAAGCATTTAAAATTTTGGGTTAAAAAGTTATTTTGTCGCATGTGTCTTAGCAGAACATAGACACATACAACATTTTAACTTCCGACATTAAATGTTTTGCATTAGTCTAAAATTTTACTTATGTATTTTGTTCATATACAAACATTTATTAACGTTTTTTCACTCAAAACTGTACTACATACTCGTAAGACACTATAGGAAAACTAGCTGAATTCTAAAATGTATATAATAAATACAAAAGTTATATATGTATGTAGTAAATAAATTTTATAACTATGCAAATACATACGTTACATTGTACTATATATAATAAGATTTTGGCATAATTCTTAATATGTAACTGCAATGTATGCAAATAAAATGTAAAATATCTAAAGTAAAATTCAAAACTCAAGCTTACGATCAAGAAACGAGTATGAAATCAACTAGAATATATTTATTTACTACTCATATGTATTTTAAAAAATCATATGTGAGACTTATATCTAGTTGTAATGAGTTCTTGTGTATATGTATCTATATTTAAAGACAATTCCTTGTACAATACAAAAAAGGTTATGTTTTGGCATTTACTATGTCACTACAAGTGCGAATTAAGGAATATGCAGATCTTCATGATAATGAAGGAAATTATTATTATTTCAATAGAATAATGATAAATATTATTAAAGTATTTGATAGTTTAGGCATAAGTATTAGTATTTTTATTTATAAATGGAACAAATATTAAGAAATTATAATTATAATGTTTTATAAAAAGAATGTATAAAAAATGTGGTGACAAAACAAGCAAAAGAATTGCAAATATATGAAAGATTTGTTTTTTAAATTTAACCATTTGACTTTCATTTAAATGGCTTTCGCTTTTCACATGATTAGCTTATAAGTTGTTTTAGTAATGAGTATCTAGAGTATATTTGGAGGAAATCTTGTATCTGTCGAGTTGTTTCGATGGAGTCAGACTATAGGAAAAACGAGTGTTAGATAMGTTGGTTTCCTGGGGCATAAAAATTATTTGAGGTTTGCATTGCGATCTAAATTTATTATGTTAGATGTAGCATTGAAAGAGATGGTAAGGATCATTAATCAGTTGGTTCGATCAAGTGAACTGAAATGATAAGCCCAACAAATTGGTTCGCTAAAAATATCATGCGCCCTTAAACAACGAATTCATTGAATCATTTGAGACATAATCAATAAATCTTTTTTTCTGTTGAATAATAATCAAGAAAATAATTTTTAAAGGAATCAAGCGTGTGTAAGCATGTATAATATTCACATATTGTAAAACAAAATACGTGATATATAAAAAAGTTCACTGACTCCAGTAGTACTCGCTGAAACTATTTATATGACAACCAGGATATTGTAAATATAACTAARAAATCTAACTAAATAATCTAAAGCYGTCATGCATTTGTTTTAATAAAATCTTTAAATATGCATCGTAATGTTAGCGTTCATTTAGTATTGTTCGAATTCACTTGTTGTCGCAGTAGTTCTCGCATATTTTCTGTTACGGCAAAACCCTGACCATGACCTGGTATTATATAATTGCACATCTCAATCATTCGCAAACGTTGTATTCGCTGAGATTCCGGATTTTCACTACCTGCTTCCAGCCAAATGGTTGGATCCATAATGTCCTCGACACGCTCGAATAAATCGCCACAAACACCTACAACTTCCCCCAGATTAGTGCCTCGCACCAATACCGACACACAATTCAGTGTATGGCCGGGTGTGCGTACCACGACCACATCATCCCCACACAATTGAAAAGGTTCCGAATCACCACATGTTAATGGGCAATCTAAATACTTGTCACGATTGGAGACACAAGCGCCCATAAAGTGCCACTGCGCTGAACGAAAGAGATAGTTACAGCCGGTATGATCGGAATGACCATGTGTGCAAACAACAACATGTATATCCTCTGGCTTGAGCCCATGTAAGTGTTGAAGGGCTTCGGTTAGTCGTTCTCCATCCCAGGCGGTGAGTGTATCAACGATAATGTTACGTCCATTTCGTGTACGTATTAGAGTACAGGTRCAATTGGCACGCATGGCGCTGGAATCATTGCTATCCGGTCTGGAATAACCAGTGAATAAAATATAAACATCATTCGCTTTTATACTCATTATAAGGGGAAGTGGTTGCAGAATTATTATTATTTACTAGAATAAGATACTATCTGACATTTGACAAAGACGATATCAATAGTGCTTGTATCGCTGAATAAACAAACATATCGAAACTTAATTTATTGATGCCCAATTTTGTAAATTTTACATATGCATATAACATATATTATATATAATTTTAAATTATTACCTTACATGCACATTATTTAAAATTTAATTTTTTGATTAAAATTAATTAATTTCGGATTTCTTTTGTAACGATTGTCACATATTCTCTTTCGTCTTTACTCGATAATAAATCGATWTATRCAGATAGTTTCACCCACATACYTATCATCAGCTGTGAGWTTTATTGACATTTCACAAAAATAAACAATCCCTTCCAATTGCGCGGTATGTAGAAACCATATAGGATAAATAAACAATCAAATTGTAAGTATATAATTTGTTCAATAAATTCTACTTTTTTTAAATTTACACTTAAGATTTTATAACATGCGTAATTTTCTAAAAAAAAAACGAAAACATTAAAAAAAGACAGTTTTTGTGAAATTGTGTGATTTCAATTAAAAGAAAACTTGCTAAAACTAGAAGTACTGCAAAAGTGAAGTGTTAAGCRTTTCAGTATCCGTTATATGTATACAGTTTTGAAAACTTAATATATTATTCGGAAGACATCAGTGCTGATTGCTAGAAAAGTGGGTGGTATTTTTGTCCGATAGTAAGTTGAATGTGATGCTTGCTGATATTAGAATAAGTAATGAAAGCTATTATGTTTTTTTTTCAGATTGGAAAAGAGTCAAGCCACAATTCACAACTGGCCGATGAAATAACACATATTGTAATTAATGGCAGGCAACCAGCGTAAGAAGGAGAAGSGAAACGCAGATGATGAAGCTTCAGACCTGTCAGAATACGGCACTCCGGACTACGACAGGACGCCTCTTGATGTCAGACAATA